GTAGGAAATCCAATTATTTTGCTCGTATCAAGAGCTAGTTTTTGTATAGACCATGTTTAAATTGAATTTATTTTTTATTTAATTAATTAATAATAATTAATATTTATGTTTTTTTATTTAATTAATTAATAATAATTAATATTTATGGGGATTTTATTTTATTAATTAATAATAATTAATATTTATGGGGCTTTTATCTTATTAATTAATAATAATTAATATTTCTGGAGGTTTTATTTTATTTTCCTTATAGTACGTAAAATAAATTTAAAATCCCAGAAATATTTAATTATTAGCCAGGCGAAAACATCAAGTTAAACACGATCTATACAAAAACTATACCTCGTTTACTCTTAGCATCTATCTAGAGACACATTATAAAAATAAAAATAAAAATTTCGTATTATTTACAAAATTAAAAATGCTGTATTAATCATAAAAATAACAATGCGATATTAATTTCTTTTGAAATAATATAAAAATATGGTATTATTTAGAAAATACCCCTATTAAATATGAAAATAAAAATCACTAATAATAAGAATAAAAATGCACAATTATTTATTAGAATTAATATAAAAATCGGATATATTTTTTATAAAACGTTAAAAAGGAAATCAAGTATTATAAAAGTAAAGGATAAAAAAAAGATTACTTTTAGCAATGAGCGTGATGCGTGAAATCAATTTTAGCTATTTGGGATTAGGGGTTAGAGTTCACTCACAACTGTTTATGTAGCAAAATCAACTTTTTAACGTCATAAGGTTTCATCTTGTACTTACTGAATTGTGTCAAATATTTCCCCATTTTCATTTTGTTTTTTTTTTGTTTTTTTTTTTGTTTTTGTTTTTGTTTTTTGTTTTTTGTTTTTTGTTTTTGTTTTTTTGTTTTTTGTTTTTTTTTTTTGTTTTTTGTTTTTGTTTTTTTTTTTTTGTTTTTGTTTTTTTGTTTTTGTTTTTTGTTTTTTGTTTTTTGTTTTTTTTTTTTTGTTTTTGTTTTTGTTTTTTGTTTTTTGTTTTTGTTTTTTTGTTTTTGTTTTTTTTTTTTTTTTTTGTTTTGTTTTTTGTTTTTTGTTTTTGTTTTTTGTTTTTTTTTTTTTTTTTTTTTGTTTTTTGTTTTTGTTTTTTTTTTTTTTTTTTTTGTTTTTTGTTTTTTTTTTTTTTCCAGCCTCTCCAGTTTTACAATATTTGATTTTGGCGGCTTGGCATTCTCCAGGATCTATCTCAATTTCCATCTTACCACATCACCCAAGCTACCATCAGGAAAATATTTTTTTTGTATTTAGGACAAAAAGCCTCCGTCAAATGTTATTTGTATTTATGTATCTTACCCAATGTTTTACTCATCGTCTTATTTTTGAATGATCGTGGAAAATCAGTACCGTCTCTCAAGTGTTCCAAGAAATGGGACTAAAGATAAAGCCTTTCAAAACAGAAACTATGATCTGGAATTGAGATGAAAGCAGTGATTGTACCTACCCTGAATCCATCATAAAAATTCTGGATGTGAAATTAGTAAATACTAAACACTTCAGGTACTTCGGCGTACAGAAGAAAATGAAATTAAACGAAGAATCAGCTGAGTTAGTTTTTTCCCAACATCGCAAATTGCTACAAAATCATACCATCAATCAGAAAAATCGAGTTATGTTCTTCAATACCCTTTTCTGGGTATGTCATGCATGGCGCCAAACCTGTTCAGAAATATCTAATCAGTTGTATACAAACACTTCAATAGTAAAAAAAGGCTTTGAGCGAGTAAAGACTGAAGGTTTTGGCAAAGGTCGTCCTGCTTTGAACATTGTGAGCTCGAGAACCACAAACAAAAAGCTGGACCAAATAACAGAAACTTGAGCAACAATTAACATAGATAGAATATGTAAGTTGAACAGAAGGTAATGGCATAATTAAGATGTTAACATTAACACACCACGTTGAATAGAAGGTTCGTGGGGAACCCCACAATCGATAACAGCTACTGAACTTGAAAAACCTGTTTTTTTCTAAAAACATATTTTAAGAGCATGCTTTTCTAAAGTTAAAGCGAAAACAGTAATGGCTGTTCGGTCAATGAACGTTTGCTTATAGGGAAATGGCTTGTACTACAATTCAGTTATGTGTCATGCGATCAAGCATCTTTCGATACATGACTGACTAGGCAGATTTTCCCGCAGTAGGTTGCCATTTCTTTCTGCAGTAGACCAGTTGCCATCCAAGGCTACAGAACCCGGTCTGCTATTTACCCATAGCTGGTGGGAGAAGAGGATTCATACATTTCCCACGGGTATTAGCACATAAATGAATGTAATTGGAATTCAAACTCGGCTCTCCGATTTCTCAATCCGAGCCTCTATTCATTACTCGACCCTACCACTAAAATTTTTGCAATTCACAAAACTCAGCTTTCTTTTAATGGTCGAATATAGGCCTAATTTAAGCAAGTATTTATTAATAATTTATTTTTTTTATCTAGAAAAAAATCAACGATAACATAATGACCTACTCAAGATGATGGTTGTCCATGCTACCTTAAACAAAAGGATAGGAATGAAACTCATTTTAGTACTAGAAGCGATAATTGAGAAACTAAGAAGTCAATTTTCCGAAAAGCTGTTTTAAGAGATTGATATTAAAAATTTCAACGGATATTAATGCTAATTGTTCTGTCAAAGAATACAAAAAAGTTATATACATTATAACAATTACGGGGACATTTAAAAAAAAAATAGGCCCAATCACTTGTATCTGAAGATGCCAGTCTTTTAGGGTTGCTAAACCCCGTTGCAGACGTTGCCATTTGGTGTTTCTTCAACACCCAGAGTCCACCTGAGGTTTATACTGCAATTATGCTGAGCGGACCTTAGTTACAGTTTCTGGGAGAGCGAGCGTTATCTAGCATCATCAACAGTCTGAACAAGATCACAGCACACAAACGCTCGGTCACGATGACTTATGACATCGTGCTATCACAACAGTCGACGGCTCCTAAATTTTCCGTCTAACCAATTTCGCACAAAAGCCTTAGGTCAACCCGTGATATGGGTTTCAGGTACATCCCTAAGGTGCTGCATGCCGGTATCGCCTCCTCCAGACCGATAACATCAAGAAGTTACCTACCTGACAAATCAACCATTGTGAGATTTGAATACATATCTCCTGAAAACGAACGTTTTAACTAGTCGGCTACGATACAATATGGAAAATTGTTATGGTCCAAGTTCCTTGTATCACGGTGATGGTCCAAGGTTAGAACCAATGAAAGAATAACACGGACACAGTTATGGAATACAAAGATATATTACAACAGAAATATAATACAAAGAAGTAGAAGTATTAGTAATGACTATCAGATTTGGTTAGAGTGAACTATGTTGTCTCGACAAGTATCACTATTCCAATGTCCTTACAATATGCTCTCAATTATCTCTCCTCGTCTTACAACCTCCTCACAACTCTTGAGAGGCGCAGTATTTATAATGTCAGGAATAGTTCATTATTATTAAGGGTAAGTTCCCATAACAAAAATACAGTGGGTAAAAAAGAAAAACACATATTACCTAATGCCTCGATGAAAACATCATGCTAAAAACGATATCTCAAAAATCATATTACGTCTATTCTTAATTTCAAAACAGGAAATCGATCCTGAGGCGAATATTAAGATGGCTATGGATGAATATTCTTATGTCCGTGAAAACTATCTGTCTTATAACCTCTGCCTAAATATACAGATCCTCTGTATTTTTCTCTGGTTAGATCGTTTTCCTCCATTGCCTGCCAATCTACATTCTATCTCTTGATTGTTTTTCTATCCTCGGACAGAAGACAGCAAATAAACGGGTAGTGCCTGAAACCGGGGATTCCCACCCAGCAACAGCACTTCCCTCATTTAACTAAACACGGAAGTATCAGTGAAATATCGACGCTAGCACGATGTTGTTTGCGGAAACCGGTTAATAACAGACCTTAGCTCCACACTTTCAACCCAACTTGCGTCACATCCGGCCGCATAACTAGACTTAATTTTGCTCGTATCAAGAGCTAGTTTTTATATAGATCATGTTTAACTTGAATTTATTTTTTATTTAATTAATTAATGATAATTAATATTTATGGGGGTTTTATTTTATTAATTAATAATAATTACTATTTATGGGGATTTTATCTTATTAATTAATAATAATTAATATTTCTGGAGGTTTTATTTTATTTTCCTTATAGTACGTAAAATAAATTTAAAATCCCAGAAGTATTTAATTATTAGCCAAGCGAAAACATCAAGTTAAACACGATCTATACAAAAACTATATCTCCTTTACACTTAGCATCTATCTAGAGACACATCGTTTTTTTTACTAATATTCACCCAATACAAGGCCCAAGAGCAACTCAAGTTAGAGGTACGTAGTTACATTAGATTAGGAAAGCGTTAGGATTATAGAGTTGAAGTAAACTTTAGATGGAACCGGAAAACTAATCCTAAACAGGAGTAAAGGGATAAGCCTCAACACTAGTTTAAAAAAACTGGAGAGATTTGTGAACCTGACGATAGGTGAACTTATCTATTCGTTATTTTAAAAGCACAAAATAAGCCCATTGAGAAAATGATTCTACTTGGATTCCAGTCTTGATGTTGTTCTGTAATTCCACGTGGAAAATATTTCTCCTTTAACCTCTTTGGACCGATCAGCGTATATAAAATGGACTTTCTTATCTTTCTCGTGTCAGTTCTAATTTAACCCGCGACTGCTTAGTGAAGGCTGTGTCCATTGATTCAGTCGTTCTTTCTTTTAGTGTTTATCAAGCTTTTGCAGGATATCTAAAACCAGAAAATATTTTAGTTTGTAAAATATTTGTTAATTGACCAAGAACTTGAGATAAGAATAGGTAGATTCGCACCTTTCCCAAGTGTATTTGGGCGAGTGTGAATATAACGAACCTAATTAGAACTCTGATTAAAAATTCCGAGTCATTACCCATAACATCAACCCCACATCTAAG